CGGTAGCAATATAGAAAGGTTTGTCATCTCTAGACAGACAACTGGCATCACCTTCTCCTACCATATGACCTCCCCAAACACTGCTTGCTCCCTGCAGTGCCTTGGTAACAGGACATGTATACAGCCAGACAAGCTTTTTTGAATTAGCCATTAAGGATTAAGAGCTGTATCCAGCAATCCTACTGCTGACATGAAATCCTCACCTTTCTAGCAAAATGAAAACCCTACCCGGAATGGTCTAGTCAGCCTGCACTTAAGTACCACGTAGATCTGTGCTGCTAGAACAAATACAGGGAGTTATACTCACGGTCAAGTCCATTCAAGTAGCGCATCCGTATTTCACAGTGTCCCCACACTGCGCTTACCACTGGATATAGCTTTTTCCCTTTGAGTCCCCGAAATGCAACACCCATGTATTGCCCATCTACGATGAAGCTCAGTGTCCCGTCATCCATGTCCAGAACCACCAGGAAGGAGTCCGGCACAATGAAAGTTTCATCTGGTTCTAAGAAGGCAGGATAGGTTTTACTTGGCTGGTTCTTGCCATCATGGTACAGTCTGTTGCGCCCAAGGTCCCACCCCCAAGATTCATGGTTATTTCCTACAAGTGTCGTGTACCCTACTGAATGCAAAGGGGCATCTGCTGTTGCCACCCCCACCACAGCATGCGTGCCTCGCTGCCTCATCGCCCACGTGATCTGCCACACATGCAGTCCTCGTGTATATCCCACTTTGCCTCTGATGGCATCTGTACTCTGAGCCACCGGATGCCGGTGAAATATGAGTTTGTCATCCTCTTTCACAAATACATTCAGTGAACGATCATCATTGTTCCATGAATGCAATAACTGGACTTCATATGATACAGGAGGCATATCCAGGAGCAAGTCCAGACGTGTGGGTTTGCTGTAGTCGAGTCCTTGGAGTTCCTGTTTCAATGGCCTGTATACAGGGTCTCTCATATCCACAGTCTTTATCCCACCTGTGACCTTCTGACCCATCGTGTGTTCTGATTTTGCCTATTTATAGGCTCCCAAGGCAAGCTCATCGGTTTACCCAGCCGCTCCTGCTGTCATTCAGCCCTACAGAAAAAGGTTGCCAGGAGACCTTGTCAAGATGTGCACCAGTCAGTATTGCCTAATGGATGGAAAGAAAAACAAGAGAGGAGTTAAACATTAGCACACACAGCCTTGTATGCAACATTTACAGAGCACTGTTTTAATCTGTTTATCCTGACAACTTGTCCTTCCTTTCCACCAGGAAGGAATGCATCCTACTTATGCAGTATACCCTGCATAGCAGAGATAGCATATAGATGAAATAGATAGGTACTAAATTGCTAATGCCCCCTTCAGAAAGGCACTTGAATTTCTGCTTCTTTGTATAGATTCAGCCACCAGAGCTCATCTTCTCTTTACAGTGAATGCACTGCTCCTTATTACTGCATCATTAAACCTTGAGAGCACATCTTCGCCGCCAGCAAGCCTTGCCTTTACATCATGATCACCTATATGTTTTCCAGGCTGGAAGTTTTGAGAAAGAGTTTATTCAATGCAGAAAACGCGGAACACAGCACACAGTAAAGCTTGAGACTTAAATTTTTTCCTGATTGTCTTCAGTTGGTGGGAGGGCTGAAAACAGAGCCTCGTATAAGCATAACTTCTGGTCTCCCAGCCGCAGTTGATAGCACAAGGTCAGGCTGAGCAAGACATCCCAGTGAAGGCCCAGGCTGCCCACTGGTGTTCACTGCTCCAGCTCCTTCCAAACACCACAGAGAATTTCTTTTCCTGCCAAAGCCATCTCTATAGCTATCCACAATGGAGCCAAAACACACAAGACATTTAATACTCAGAAAGAGATTCCAACAGCTTCAATTTCCCAAAGATAGACCCGAGTTTACATTTGCATTGTCTTTGGATCCCATAGTAACATGCTACAGATGACTAGTAGAGAGGGATTGGTTTATATGGGTAACTGCTCTGCAAAGCTTTAGTCTGAGCTGTCCT